GGTTTCGCAGAATTTGTTCATGCAATCTTCACCTCTGTATAAGTAAGGCTTACATTCATCGGTTATTGAATTAACAACGTTTAACATAAAACCCGATGGTTTATGTTCCTGATATGTCCCTTTTATACCTTCATCTGTTTGTGTTGTTAAACATTCAAAATCACCGTATATAACATATGGACATTTAAGCTTTTTATAGTGGTTCTTGAAAAATGTTTTATCCTTTTCTGGCATCTCTACGTTTTGAATGTTATTTGCCATACATCCTTTTATAGTATGTTGCGTTAGTAAGTTTTCTTTCTGAAAGCCTTTCTGACAAAATTGACAATGAAACAGTTTTGTTTTATGTTTGTTTGTCTGAGAACTCATTAATCTCGAATAATCCTTTATCAAAACATAATGACTTTTATCATCCTTTTCTAAGCGTAACAGATTTACATGACATGTTGGTCTTAACTTTTTTGTTATTCTGTCTGCTCTTATCTTTTGTTTATCCTCGTCTATAACATAAACATTTATTGAAATACTACCTTCATTAATCTCTTCAAAATAATCTATATCATCATTAGAAGCTGGAAAATTAACATCATCCCATTTTAAGAAAGAGTCATTGTTTTTCAACTTATTATAATGATACATTCTTTCGGGATTGTGATTTTTAAAGATATTGTAAAAATAACATTGAACGCAATATTTGAAACAATAATCGTCATCGTTTTTAATGTTGATACATGCCTTCTTTAATGATATCCACTTAGGTAATTCAATATAAGACCCTGCTCTTGTAGGGTCATATTTGTCATAATGGATTGTTATTTTCATTATCTTTTTTATTGTTAATCCTGAACGTTTTAATTGTGAGTTTTCTATTTGTTCCTCAATGTCGCCCGCCATGTTGTTTATGGCTTTGTTTAAATCTTCTTCGTTTAATATGTTGTATCTTCTGCTTCTTATTGTGTGTCTTACTTCATCCTCTTCTGGATGATTAAATGCGACATCCACTTCTATTAACACTTTCATTTGTTTTTCTTTTTTCAAGTATTCGGTTAATCTTTCTTTTTGGTATTTTAAATAAGATAAACCACGATAACCGTTCAAATTAATATTAGTAATCGAATATGTGTTCGCGTATCTTTTTAGTGCTTGTCTTTCGTCTGTGATTTTTGCTTTTCTTCTTATTGCGTATGATTTAAGGGCTTGTCTCGTTTTTGCTTGTTGTCCTGCTCTGTGTAGTATCTCATAACGTTTAAAACCTTGAGTTTTAGCAATTGAATTCAATTTGTTGGTTAATTTTGTTGAGAAGGGTTGTTCTTTATTATATCTGTATTCATTACCATTAATCACTACTTTTTTTAATTCTTTATTACCTCTCTTCTTTATTTCACCGATATTACTACTCAAAACATACTTCATCACGTCGTTTAAACGGGGTTCTACCATATACCTATACCCTATAAGGCTTCAAGTCTTTAAGTCCTTTTGGGTGGTGTTTTTTCTGGGTTTGGGTGTGGTTTGGGCTGGGCTTGGCGCGGCTTGGGTGGTGCTGGTGGTCGGCGGTTAGGGCGACTGCCCGATAAATAAAGCATACTAAAACCCTAAACACCGCCAAAAAAGGGGCATTGAATATTTTAATAAAACGAAAACAAAAGAATGTGAAATGCCCCTTTTTTAAAACATAGTCCTAACCTAACATAAACCACAACAACCCTTCTAAACCGAAAGAACTAAACCACAACAACCCTAAAAAGACTAAACCCTAAAACTCTAAGCGCGTCCCAATGAGAGGAAGAGCCGACACTTTGGAGACTTCTGCGTCTCAATGATAGGAATAGCCGACGTTGTCCGCGTTTTTAGGGTTTAGGGGATTAGGGCTTAGGGTCTAAACCCTAAACTGAAACCCTAAACTAAAAACCCTAAACTAAAACCCTAACCCAAAGGAAGGGCGCACCGTTGCGTCGAACTCGTCGTGGTGAGTGTTCTGCATGTAGACGTCCACCTGTCATTTTCTTAGTCAAAGTTTTCTTTTCTTATTCAATATCCCTCGGGCGAAGTTGGGGATTTATGATTTTTTGGTGTAGGGTCTATGATATATTTTATTTTGTGATTTTGGGTGTATTTTATATGGGAATTTGTGGGTATTTTGGGCGAATATTGCTTTCGGGTCTTTTTTATGCATATGACTACTTGATATTTGTTATTTTGGGGTTTTGGGGGGTTTAGGATGTAGGATAGAAAGGATTCTGGGATTTGGTGATGCTTCTATTTGGGAATTTGTGGGTATTTTCGGGTGGATATTATTTTTGGGTCTGTTTTGTAAATATTGTATATCTTAGGTTTAGGGGTTTAGGGATTATAATGCAGAGCTTTGATGTGACACCTGCTTTTTGTGTCTGCGGTCGCACATCTCAGTCCCTTGCTGTCATCAACTGCATAGACGACAACAATCCAAGCACCGTTCCCGTGTAGCGAAGTCCCCCTACTTTGGGCAGTAAAGTCCCCCTACTTTGGGCGGTAAAGTCCCCCTACTTTGGGCGGTAAAGTCCCCCTACTTTGGGCGGTAAAGTCCCCCTACTTTGGGCGGTAAAGTCCCCCTACTTTGGGCGGTAAAGTCCCCCTACTTTGGGCGGTAAAGTCCCCCTACTTTGGGCGGTAAAGTCCCCCTACTTTGGGCGGTAAAGTCCCCCTACTTTGGGCGGTAAAGTCCCCCTACTTTGGGCGGTAAAGTCCCCCTACTTTGGGCGGTAAAGTCCCCCTACTTTGGGCGGTAAAGTCCCCCTACTTTGGGCGGTAAAGTCCCCTATTTCGGGTGGTCTGACTGGCAACGGTGGCGAAATCGCGTAAAGGGAACTACGCGCTCAGAACGCGACACACGAAGCATCGTTGGTCTTGAAGTGCTCATCTGCCGGGGTTGAGATTTCACGTTTGATAAGCTCTTTCTTCACGTCTTCCATGAAGCCGACAGCATTGATGACCATTTCCCCGTTCCTGAAGACGCCATAGTGGTCGATGAACATCTCGAACAGTTGGATGGTCATGTCCCCCTGCAATGCCTCGATAGCCTTGATGCAGTCACCCATTGAGCACATCTTCGGGAAGACAACGGACAAGGCTCTGTGAAGCCTCTCCTCGCTTGTGCCTCTGCGCTTGCCCTCCGAAACCTTCAGAATGTCAAGGAGCAACTGGAGGTTCTCCACCGACAACTGTTTCAATGCCAACTCGATGAGCGGGAAGTTCACGTTGGACTGCAACAACTTTATCTCTGCCATGGACTGACGCATCTCAGTGAGGTAGGTCTGGAAGCTCTCGGGGAAGTCACACGTGGGCGTAAAGACAACCTTGTAGTCATCGTTGATTTTCTCTTTCAAAGCCGCCTTCGCAGCATCTGGTTTCAGATGCGACTTGATGGTTCGACGGAAGCCTCCTCCAACTCCGCGAATCGAAGCGTAGACCACCGAGCCGTCCACGATACCAACCTCGCGCAAGCTTTTTCTGGCGTGGTAGGTCTCAAAGAGATTCACGTCGCCGAAGGTGAACATGATGTCCTTGCCCTGCTTCTGGGAAATCGCGGCATCCTCAAAGAAGCGGTCGCGAAGGTGACCAATGCCACGCATCAACGAAATGCTGATGGAGTATGTCCGCCCCTGAAACACGATGTTCACCGTCACCTTTGCCTCACGGCTCTCCTTCGTCTTCGCCTTCTTCTCCTCGATTTTCTGCTCCTTCCTCTCTTTGGTCTCCTCCTTCTTAATCTCGCGAAGGTGCTTGCGAAGCTCCATGCTGACGATGGTCTGCTTTGCCTTCAACGTCTCCATCTGCTTGTCGTAGCGTTTTTTCAAGGTCTCCTTCTCATCGAGGCTCATCTCCTTCACTGCCTTGGTGAGTGCATTCTCCTCGTCTGTGTTGAAGTCGTCGCTCTCCTCGTCGTCAGTGACATCGGGGGAAATGGTAGGAATTGGGTTCTTCTGGTCTTCTGGGTCATCACCACTGCCGCCCGCGGAAGCACTCATGGAAAGCTCGGGGACAATCTCGGACAAAGTCGCCATGCTCAAGTGGTAGAAGCAAAGCGAACGAAAGAATGCGGGGATTGTGCTTTGAAAGCCGAATTGCTACCATTGTAAAGCAAATGTGCTCATGCTCACGAGTTGCTTGTCAATGTCAGAACTGAAAGCATCGACTGACTGAAACGTTAAGACATGCCAGACGTGCCTCTTCGAAGTTGTTGTAGTCGTTGAGCGTCTTCTTCAAATATGAAACCTTTACCAAAAGGACTAACTATAACACGGGAAGCCCCAGAAGCTTGAGAAGTTGGGAAAAGACTGAAACGAAGAAGGGGGAGATATGGGGAAGAAATTAGGTTTATTGTTGCTATAAATCATAACAACAACAAACATTCAAACAAGCATATGGGAAGGACTTTAAGAATATAGGAACGCATAAGGTGGATAGATTAAATTTTAGGGGTGTTGTTATTTGTAGGTTTTGCGGAATGAATGAGGTAGCTTGTCCTTAGAATCCCCTATGGATAATGGATAAGGCGGGAAACGAGAGAAAACGAATGAGGGGATGGTAAAAAGTTGGGGCTAAAAATTCGGCGGGAAATACGGGGAAACTGGGCTTAGGAAATGCAACAGGTAGCGAAAGAACATAGAACTAAATAAGGGGGCAGGGTCAAGAAAAAGCAGAGCTGGGGGGCAAGTGGGTAGCGATATAACCCTGAAGCCTTAGCCTGTGAAACCCCCTTTTACATATTTTTTCACCCACCCACCCACCCACCCGAACCCACCCTTTCAGCGACACAGAGCCCTCGTGTACACTACACCAAAGGGGGCAGGCATCATGTTGATGTAAACCCTAAACCCTTAACCCTCAAGCCTAAACCCTGAAACCTTAACCCTAAACCTATAAACCCTACACCCCAAACCCTAATCCCTAATCCCTAAACCTTCAACCCTAAACCCTAAACCCTAAACCCCAAACCCATGTTCATGTGCTCCCAGCGCCTTCGAAGCCGATGAGGAGCACGGCGGCGGTGGCCAGCAACTTCCGCTCCGGCTCAGCAAGGCCCGCCGAGCGCACCACCTCCGGTCCGGCCACCAGCCTGCTTTTTAGGGTTTAGGGTTTAAGGTTTAGGGTTTAGGGGTACTTATGAACCAAATAGCATTGTACTTATAACCCACTTATAAGCCCCTTAAGTGCCCTTAATATAGTTACAAGTGCAGCTGTAATTGGCTAAGAAGTACCATGAAGCTCCAAGTGAGCGTTCTTCAAAGCCAGGGCCCCCGGGAGGGATTTCATGAACATTGTAAGAACTCCTACAGGGTGGGGCCCCCTAGTTATAAGTAGAGTTATAAGGGCCCTAAATTGGGTTATAAGGACCCTAAGTGAGGTTATAAGTAGAGTTATAAGGGCCCTAAATTGGGTTATAAGTAGAGTTATAAGGGCCCTAAATTGGGTTATAAGGACCCTAAGTTAGGTTATAAGTCCCTTAACTACAGTTAGTATAGTAAGGGGGGCCCCACCCTGTATTTTTGGAAAACAGTAAGGTAGACCTTCAAAGGATATCCAATTTATACTCTTGCTGCCATAGTTTCTAAAGGAAGTGCAGATGTGTGCAACTGTCTTCGTAGATTCTTGTAGAGATGCAGAAGGCTGTTTCGGGGCAGGACTACAGTCATCATGGGGACTAAAATAGGGACCTTAATAATTAGAGTAGGGTTTGGGGGGCTGCTATAGCATATCCATAAAGGGACCCTAAGGGAACACTATGAGAAGTCATTCCGACCCCTATAGTATGCCCAGCCACCTCAGATTCGCAGGCTGGAGCCCCGTCTGCGACATGTCCCTCACACAGTGGGCGCCTAGCTCGAAGGCGGCGTCCGCGTCACCCTCCGCCTGGAAGACCACGGTGGCAGAGGCCCGGGTCTGCGGCCGAGCCCGGACCTTAAGCCAGGCCTCCGTGATCACCCCGAGCGTGCCCTCGGAGCCGGCGTAGAGCCGGAGCTCCGATGGTCCGGCGCCGGAGGCGGGCACGCGTCGCGTTTCGGTCGTACCGTTCGGGCTCACCACCCGCACGCTCTGGACGAGGTCATCGATGTGCGTGGGCCCAGTGGCGAAGTGCCCACCTCCCTTGGTAGCAATCCATCCCCCCACGGTCGAGAACTCGAAGGACTGCGGAAAATATCTCAGCGTCAGCCCTCTCTGGCGCAAGATGTCTTCCAGCGCTGGTCCATAGATGCCGGCCTGCACACGAACACACTGAGACGTCTCATCGAACTCCAGCACCTGGTTCATCATCGCCAAATCCAATGCCACACAGCCAGCGAAGCCATCATCGGCTGAAACGGGCTCCACTCCTCCCACCTTCGGGACTAAATGAACCCTTACACAAGGTTTATGGTTCATATACCTCAACAGGACTTAGGGTTTAGGGTTTAGGGTTTAGGGTTTAGGGTTTAGGGTTTAGGGTTTAGGGTTTAGGGTATATGACCCCCAATTTTAGGGTTCGTTTCGTCCCCACGGCACGACGCTGGACCCTCCGCCGAACGGAACAACGGCAATGCGGCGTTGGGAGCAGATGTGGAGCATCGCTGCCACCTCAGCCTCACCTGTACTGAACTTGGAAGGGTTTAGGGTTTAGGGTTTAGGGTTTAGGGTTTGGGGTTTGGGGTTTAGGGTTTAGGGTTTAGGGTTTAGGGTTTAGGGAAACCTAGCAAACAATTCTAACTTCAGCTGTGTCTTAGGAATCATAGTACCCAAAAATTGAAAAAAATCCCAGTATCCCTAAGTCACTAGAAGGGTAAGCCACGAAGTCATGGATTGGCCCCAGCTTGCTATGGAGGCTGGCGATCACGTCGGTGACATCCCGGCCCCGGGAGTGGAACAAGCGCTCGAAGTCGCTGTCCGTGCAGTAGCTTCGGACATCCTAGACCCAAGAGCAACCTAGGAATAACAAGGGCGCCCTTTTAGGTTTAAAGGGGCTTCTAAGGGAACCCAACCCCGAAAAAAAAGGGGAACCCTAAACCCTAACCCCGAAAAAAGTAAACGAACAGGGCCTACTCTTGGTCCTAGCTTCGGCGGGCAAAGACCCGAGCTCAATGCGCGGTTTCGGCAGAAGTTGCCCAACTTCACGCACCGCGGGCGGACGCAGTTGCTCCAGCTCCGATGACCTAGACCCAAGAGTAAGCTAGGAGTAAAAGAAGGTTGCCCACACTGGTTGAAAGGGGCTAATACCTGAAACCCTAAGAAGAAGGCAAACAAAGGCCTACTTACTCTGGGTCCTATAGTAACCCTAAACCCTAAACCCTAAACCCTAAACCCTAAACCCTAAACCCTAAACCCTAAACCCTAAACCCTAAACCCTAAACTCTGGCTCCTAGTGACAGGCCAAAGGTTCCTGGAAGCTCCTGCAAGAGGTCGCGCAGCTCCGCAACGCGACCCCAGGCCCACCACGACTTGCCGGCGTGGGGCCCGGTGGTGGTTGTCTGTTCCTGCCAGGGTTTGGGGGTTTAGGGTTTAGGGTTTAGGGTTTAGGGTTTAGGGTTTAGGGTTTAGGGTTTAGGGTTTAGGGGTTCCTATACTCCCTTTGAAACCTTCATAAAAGAAATATTCTTGATATCCTCTTGAGTTTTTATATAATCAAAAAAACAAATTATTCCCAAGGAGGATTTGGGTTCCTGCCAGCTGTCTTCAGCCTCCATGTCAATGTGTACTGAGGTGCGCACCACGCTTGGAATGAGCACTGTATACGGATACCGACTACAACACCGACATGAACATCAAGATGGCAGCGATGGCTCAAAACCCCTCGCCTATGTCTCACGCCGCACCGACATGTAAGAATAGCCAGAATAGTACCATCACAAGTACTCATGCAAATGCGATGTCTCAGTGCACTGAACTTGCAGCTGCATCAGGCACCACAAACCAAGCACGCGCGAAGCCTCGTACATTCAACTTGTTTTGACCCTGTGTTTTTTTTTATAAATCAATAAGTGAATAAATACATCAGTAAATAAATAGATATAATATATATGTGTGTATCTGACTGACAAGCCGCTGTGGACAAGGGGTACATCTTCCCATGATGTGCTGTGCGAGACAGCCTGTGAACAGCACAAGACTGCTCAAAACATGACCATCCTGCTCCTGTTATAACCATGTTTCGCTGTGCGCACAGCATGATGAATTATATACGCTGAGCGCCAAGAACAGCCCTAATGATTAAGAATCTCAACCAAGGACCCCGCATCATCATGCGTAGCGTGGCCAGCCTGTCATTCGAGAGGGCTGGTGCTGCAGAAGTTTAGGATCTTGGCTTCGAGGGCGTTGACGCATAGTTCATGTTGGGTGCGGAGTAGGAAATAGGGATAGTTGTGCAAGGGCACAGCTGAGTGTGTAAGAGTGTATGTATAAAAGTGAAAAGTGTGAGCATGTAAAAGTGTGTAAAAGTGTGTAAAAGTGTGTAAAAGTGTGTAAAAGTGTGTGTGTGTGTGCACCCTGATTCTAAGCTAAGGGTTTTTGGAAAGTCTTTGAGGCTTGGCGGAGAATGTATTTTATGCAGGGGGCGCGAGGTCCTTTGACATAGCTCGCGCCAACGAAGCTCTATGTCATCGGGCAGGAAAACGTACCTGCGCGTGGAGTACCTGGGCAAGTTGTTGCAGCTGGTATCCACTATACTGCTTGTGACATCATGTACCCTCAAAACCCGGAATCCTCGGTCCTCAAATAATTTCAAGTCCGAACGCTCCAGATGGCTTGCACCTTGGGACATCGGCATTAGTACTCCTACTACTTCATTCTCATCAACATGCAGGAGATCTCCGGACAGGGAAGCCAATGAGAGTTTACTCTCTTATCTCCGTGTGTGGCCTTGTTGCCAATCGCAGTTATCCCGCGAGGGAGCTGTACGGGTCGTTGTGCGACTCATCATGGTACCATGGAGGCCCAATAACCTAGCAGGTTGGGTCGAGAGGCCTAGTGCCACGCATGGAGCCCACTAGACCGCTTTCGAGCGATGAGTAACTTTTAGGTGGATGGGCAACAGAGGGCTAGCCCCAAGAGCAAAAATGGTGGGACTTAGCACCCGTGTGGCCCGAGGTGGGGCCTAATGGAGGTCCTCCGGACCGTAATAGAGGCCTCAGCGCCAATGGAATTTTTGGATGGATTGGTGATGCTCGGCTCCTTTAGCCTTTTCTGTTCCTTTAGTTGATAGGATCTGTAACGCCATGTCTTCTTTCGCTTTTGCATTGTCGGAAGTACTGGATGCACCGGATGGCTCGGCAATTCCCGAGCCTCGTTTTGTGCAACGGGCAAGGGAACGTCTGTATCGGACCAGATTGGAACAGGCGGGTGCTCGTGCCAAGAGCAAGCCCGGGCCCCGAGACTTGGTAGAGACGTTACAGGAGTCATGCAGTTCTTTGGAGAGATCGCGCAGCAGCCCGCATCGTGAAGCGAGGGGGGTACGGTCACCGATTTGCAGACGCAAGGTTTTTCGGGTTTCTGAAGCATATGACACATCTCTGCCGCAGTGGGCGTTGCCTTCTGATTGTGTGTCAACTCATAGCGTGGATGATCGACCTCTGCCGGCATGGGCCTTACCGCCGCAAGATGCGTCCGATGTCAGACCAGATTCATCTTCCACATGTGTGGTAACACACACAAATTCGCAGTCAGTCCTAGCACCAGGACCTTCGGAAATATCGAGTTCAGGTGCCTCTACTGCTGTACTTGGAGGATCCCGCCAGTTTGCAAGCACGGTGCTTCCTGCACCAGTTCTGGATGGAATGACGGATGTTTCTTTGCGCAGAGAGCCACGTGTTTTGGTTCCGTCGGCTAGCAGTACCATTACTGCAGTCTCTGTTCAGCATATGGCAGGCGGGGCAGATACAGTCCAGTTGCAGAGTTGGAATGAAACTTTGCGCTATCCCCAGGTTCCTGAAGAAGCAGTACGGCTCAATATGCAGCAACTCACTTTTCTTTGTCAGGATTCTGGTGTGCCCGTCCTACCAGATTTTGAGCTTCGGTATTTTGCGTCCATGATTTGCCGCACAGGCGCTACAGCCTTAGAGGTCTTTCAGCGAGTAGGTATTCTTGAGTCTGCTTTGACAGTACATTGGGTATTTCACTTGAGACAGCTCTGGACTCGGATGGACCCTCGTGTTTCGGATGCTCAGAAAATCCTGATTCAGTTTGGGCACGGGACTGATACTGGAGGTCTGGATGGCATTCTTCGACTGAAGTATTTAGCTCCTGCTGTGTACGCCGACGGGGATGATGCAGTAGGCCACTATAGCCAGGCCAGTTTGTGGTCCGATGTTCATTCTTTGACAGAGATGTATGATCGTGTCGTTTCCAGTGGCAAGTGGGCACAACCTGTGATCGTGGGTGGTGAAGTTGTGTGTGGTGACATCCATCACACTATGAAATCAGGTTCGGGCGTGGAAGCTCAGAGGGCTTGTGTTATCAGCGGCGCAGTCCACATGAAGAAGGACAAGAAGTGGGTTCTGCATTCCAATTTGACACGTATCACTAATTTCACGGTGAGTGTTCGCAAGTCTTTTCAGACCCGCCGGGATGCTGGAGGATTGCCCATGTTTACCTTGCCTCCTAGCCGATTTGAGCGCCTGTCCACATCTATGCGGTCAGGTGCCATACCTTTGCCTCGCATGGCATGAGGCCGTACAGTAATTCCTTAGACTGGGTAGCCATTCTTTCAGATGCTACAATGATACCTCATGAATGGTGAGGTCGCGCAACATGAAGCGGCACTTCTGAAAATTGGGATCAGCGCACATTCGCTGCTTTCCATGTCTGAAGATTGTAGCATCATGCTCATGGGTTGGGCTGCGAGCTACATCCCAGAAGGTGCAGCCGATGGAGGGGGGTTTGCTTCTGGGCCGGGGGGTCCCCAGGTTCAGGCGGGGTCCAGGAGTTTTCGGGGGTCCCTAGGGGGCTTCTTCTCACGCCCTGGCTGTGTCCGGCGGGTTTTTTCGCGGGGGCCTCGGTTGCCGGTTGGTTCGGTGTTTGTCCCGTACGAGACTTCGTCTCGGCCGCCTCGGCGGGGGGAGGGGTGGTGTGGGGGGAGCTAGCAGGTTTGGAGGCTAGTTAGGACTGCTTTGGGCGGACGTCAAAATACCATGCATGTACAATCTGAGAGCTTCACATAGGGCGCATCCGCTTTTCCTGGAAGAAGGAATATTGAGACCCGCCCATATGTACCTCGGATGTGATGGACAGTACATGATTCGCTGACTTCTGACGCGGAAACTTGGTTCGGTCATGCAGGGTTTCTGCTCCTCCAGCGCGTAAGTTTTAGTCGGCGCCATGTCTCGAAGGCTCTCCCATGATTCGCGTTCTCCGGGATATCGTTCTTCACAGAGAGATCGCTCTAGGGCCAGAAGTCGTACCAGGGAGAGGGACTACAGAGATCGACGCCGATCAACCAACGCCAGGGAGAAAGCTCGTTCTTTGTCACCTCGGAGGCCCGAAAGATTTGTGCCTCCCCGCAGTTGGCAGAGCTCGTCCCAAGAGTGGGACACCAACAAGGTGTACGGTCTGAGCCTTCCCAAGTATGTTGTGCGCAACAGACTTACTCGTGATTTGGGGATTGCTGACATGCCCATCTTTGAGGTCCCTTTGGCTAAGGTTGTTAGCCAACAGCACCAGAACTGGGCATTGAGGCAGATTGCTCATGGTCGGACAGTGACTTGGGAAAATTTCAGATCCAAGCAGGAATCCGTGTTTGCAGGAGTGCTTATGCGTGCATTAAGGGGGGACTCGGCTCAGTCTGATGGGATGGATTTCGTGACCATTCTGAATGCAGAGCAACGTCGTCGTCATCCCACCAAAGAGCTGCATGATTGGGAGGCTCGCTATGACACCATCAAGTTCTTGGCCGAATCATTGGCCACACAGTTTCGGAAACATGCTCCGACTAAGGCCAACCAGGATCTCCTTACCCGAGTTCAGGCTCTGGAACGGGAGAACGCTTCGCTCAAGAGTCGAACCTCAGCTTCTTTGGCGACTACACAGAGGACCCCGAAGCAGCAACGGCCAAGTCCCAAGGCCACCCCTCCATCTACCCGGCGCAAGCCTCCATGTCAAGAAGAGGAGGTTCCGACGGAGGAGTTTCCCGTCTTCTCACCAGTGGGTGATGCCGTAGAGGGTCATGAGGACGTTCGGGATGACGAGGAGCCACACGATGTGTTTGACGAGGAGGAACCCCTTCTTGCTCCCCAGGATACTTATGCGCAGTTCCGTTGCCCCCCGGGAGGTGTGAAGTTCTTGGAGAGCTGTTCTCTCACGCGGCATAATATCAGCGCAGTCAACACTTGGTTGGCATCCACCACCTTGGGAAAGGGCAAGAAGCAAGCCCTTGACTTGGCAGTGTCGGAGTTCATGTCTGCGGCCGGTAAGCTAGATGCAGGTTCACGTGTTGCCATTGATACTCTTGCAGTGGAATGGGGGTTGCCTGTACAATTGGCAGCCAAACTGAACGAGGCATGTCTTGTGCGCCTGCTCGCAGGCGCGCATCTGCTGTCTCAGGAGTGACTCTGCTCAGATCGGCAAGCAACGCGTAGTGCACGCGGCAAGTTTGTGCAGACATTTCTCCGATGGTTTTCCATGATTCTTCCTCTTCTTTTCTCACTTTGTTCTCATTCTTTGATCTCCAGATTTCTATGGGTACGAGCGCACCTTT